ACAGAAATGATTGAGCCTGCGAGCATATTTTAAGCCGTCACCTTGTGCATTAAAGCTGTGGTTATATGATTTCCAAAGCTCGGAGCTTGGTTTAATATTCATAAAGTGCTGAACATCCTGAGATCTCGGTGCACTCCAGAGTCAAAAGATATACTGTTATTGGATGTGATAAACAGAGCGTTGGGGAAAGAAAGTGCTGAGGGGCAATTTGCCACACATACTTCCATTTTCTCAACCTTTTTGAAATAGCAATAGATGTATAAGAGTTCACAGGAAGCTAAGTGTTGATGCTCCGAGGTGAATTTCATCGACGGACAGTATTGTATCCGTCCCACCGACGTCAATTTCATTTGGTTGACGCTGCTGTAGCGGGTGCTATTAGCTGTTAACAATTTTTCACATTGTTCAAAGAAATTCTCACATGTTATTTCTCTACATGGACTAATTAAACTTGTACAGCAGTGTCAAGCTCCGTCACACTTGTCACCTTCTTGCTGTTGCTATTTCTCATGAGCGTAGCTAGGTAGCTGGAATGTAACAGTCGTCAGTGGTGTGGAACCATATGTTTTATATATTGGAATAGTTTGCTAACTCAGCCAGATAGCAATAGTTGCCAAACAATGTGCAAGTTGCAATTAATCAAATTCATGTTGTGGTTTTGCTTTTGGCGGTATCAATAGGTCGCCTGATATAAACTTACCCGACATCCAAGTCCAAGTCAAGTCATATGAAGTGTTGCAATTATTACTCATATGCTGCTGATATTTGCATCATGAGCTATTTGTATGATTTTCTTGATGTGCTTGTGGAGAATGTAGTGACAATGACAATCAGCCACAGGGCCCCATGAAATGTTCTGCCACGTGACAAATAAAAAATTGTTTTTCATTTTCCAATAAACATAATAAACATCCATAAAATATATATATGAAATATAAATAATATTTCATGTAGTGGCATATTGAGAGCAACTATTGTGCACTACATTATCTGCTGATTGCATCAATTTGCTCAGAGAGAGAGGAGCCTACTCCTCTGTTCCGCTATCTAAAAGCAGCAGGTAAAAGAAGCAGCTGAATGTGTCAAAGCGACCGCAATAAATAATGGATGTCATCAAGCTTCCGTGGAAGCTGTCAGCTTTGAAATCTACTCCCTGGTTGAGACCCACTCCCAGTTTGCTCCTTTCATTTTACATTTAACGGGTCCTGTGCTGTATAACCATCATCTCCAACACACACACATTCATATACCTCATCTCTGGCTGGAGCTGTCTGAGACAGTTAGTGCTGGGAAGGTGCTGAGCTCAGAGCAGCCAGGCAGGTGTTGTGTCCGTCTTAGGGGCTCACGTCTGCATATATCAGCTTCAATTTTACCCTCAGTCGGGCTTGAGAGCCTGGTTGACACCCACAGGAAGGGAGCCGACAGCAGCACCGTTTAAGAGGAAAAATAAACAGCCTCTCTTGGACCAGGCACACAGTGAAAATTGTACCGTTTCTCAAAGACCTCGAAGGTTAACTGGTTTTCTTTTGTAGCTGCGAATTGATTTCCAAGCTCTTCAAATGGTGCTATCTGTCCGCGCTCATATGTCGAGGGAGCAGGCTTTTAGCGGTGGATGTCCCAAATGTCTGAAGCCCAAACAAATCATTTTCCAGTATTGTTAACTCTGACAGAAGACAGCAGGTGCCTCGGAATTAAATACCTCATTAAAGTCGGAGCAAACAAATGGATTTGATGGCCCCACGTGATTCCTAATATAACTAAAACTGTTTAAATGTGTTCAAACTTTAATAAATAAATCCTCATAATTCATGCTGTGAGCTCCACATGTCTCTTGCAGAGATGGATCAAAGTCAGCAGGATAAATTCCTCTTTTCCCTTTGATAATAATTAATTACACACTCAAGCAAAAACAAATGCCTATGCAGGCACCATAGTACATGTGAGAGGATTATACCTCTCTTAATACACCGGGAGACATAGAGTATCGCACTATTCTCACCTTGTATTTTACATTGTCTGAAGAAAACAGCAGAATTGTCTTTTTGCATCAGATGCAAAGTCCGTCCAGATCTTAGTTTTGCAACTTATTAGAACACACTTATATATATTACATGATATATTATACATATATTAAGTAAGATAGTAATGAATCGGCAGCATTTGTATAAAAGTAGGAGAATTGCATGAAATGTCGAGCTGCGGAGATGTTATTTCTGCAAAATATAGGCCTATGTGTTTCTACAGAATACCACAGATACAAGGAGATGGCAGAGAATATTCTCATTGTCTCCATGTCTCTAATGTAAGAGCATTGTCCTTCAGCTATTGTGTGAATCCTCTGGCTGTCAAACTGGGAAAGAAAGAATCCTGGCTAAAGGCCACTTGTCTTTTCACTGAGCCTGGACCGTGTTTGCACTGTCAGCCCTGGACAGCTCAACACAGACCCATATCTACCCACCTCTGTATCATGTGACGGTGAACTTGTAAATATTTACACTTTCAGAAATATTGATTATGATGAGGATTGGATGTTGACAACTGTGGCATCAATCCCAGGTCTATGTTGTACCACACCTGTTGTAAATTCTTCTGTAAGCCTACACATAAATTACTATTAAAAGGTAAGTATTCTTCTCCATCTTGATGACCATACGGAGGTTACCGATTGTGCATGCCAGAATACCCTTTTCAAGGCAGGAAAAGTGTGGAAACAATAGAACTAATGTTTCCATAAACGATGTCAGTGAGTGGTCATGCACAATACCAAATCCCTGGAACTGGCTCACCTAATTGGAAAGCAGTCATTAATGTTTTTAACTCCCCTAGTGCTTTTCTTGCTTTGACAAGTCAAAATGTCTGCTGTGACAACTGTCTATGGGAGTCCCCCTAACGCTCACATCAGGGTTAACAGTTAACCCTACAGGGTTAACTGTAGGATAATTATGCTGGGAGAGAAGTTTATTGGCACTGCCATTGTATATTTTCTCTCATACAGCAGCTGTTTCTGCATTAAACTGTAATTTTTGATACTTCTATTTGGTACTTTACTATAATTGACTTATTCAAAGGAAGAGCTTGTTATTTTGGGATATACGCTTATTTGATTTTTTGGCTGAGAGTTAGGTGAGAGGATGGATAACGTTACCACTAGCTGGCAAAAGCAACAAGTTAGCTTAGCATAAAAACTTGAAACAGGGACCCAGCTAGCCTGTCCAGATGTAACAAAATCTGCCTACCAGCACCTCTGAAGCTCATTGATTTACACATTTTACAAAAGTAGGATGACACATCTGCGTATTGTTGTTGTTTATGGCCTGAACTGTTTCTTGGCCGGGGGCAGTGACTTCCTGGAGTCTCCGCTGCTTCCTGAAATAAGGTCTGTGGTTAACACAAGTGGTGGACTGTGGTCTAGATACCCCTTTGGGGAATTTTGAAGCTTTATCTTTAAAGAGACAGTGGTTAACAAGTGTCTTAACAAGACTACAAAATGTCATCACATCATCTAGGCCACCTTTGCAGCTTGGTTGTATATATCATGCTTTTGTGACCATGGAGTACTTCATTCATATGTTAGGTTGCAATCCTTCCATTTGCATTCACGCTTCAGAAATCATAAAAGTGTGTTCATTTATTACGATTAGCTGCAATATTCCAAAATCCAATGTAAAAAATCCTGTGAATTATTGTAGAGGGAACCAGTGCGATGCTAACTTCATGCACACACACACACACACACACACACACACACACACCCCAGAGTAAAAACAAGGTCTGAATATGAAGATTTTTAGTAATAGTGTTAGTCAATTGTAAAGTAAAAGTACTTCTTAAAATGTCCTTAAATAAAAATAAAAAATAGTCCGTTAAACTGCAGGCCAGCTCTGAGTAAACAGCTGGGTAACATTTGTTTTTTAAAAAGGTGGAAAGACTGTAACAACTCTGTGAGATCCCTCCGCCTAATTGACTCCGCTGGCCGCATCGTCTCCTCCCGCAGAGCCGAGTGGAGCAGCAGCAGCGTCTCTCCCCTTCAGCTCCAAGCTTTATGTCTGTGACGGCTGTTCTGCGCCGGCGGGACCGCAGTGAACTCAGCAGACACTCAGATCTCCGTGGTCAACTCAGCAGACGCTTGCATTTTAGTGCACCTATATGCTGAGGTTTACGGTATACACATTCAAACTGAACAGATCGGGAGCGAGCGAAGGATTTTGCAAAGTTAGCGGAGGGATTAACGTGAGACAACATCCGGGTTTCAAAATAAGATGTCAACCAAGCGGAAAGATTTACGTGGACAACATCCGGTTTCCATAATAAGATGTCAACTAAGTGTATATATACACTTTGTAATAATAATAGTTGTAATAATAATGTCAAATATTCACTTGTTATATATTTTCTCAGTCCAAATTTATAACTTTTGCTTTGAAATATCTCTTAATTGATACAGTAAAAATGTCTGATTTTCAGTCTGTGTGGAGTCGAAGATGTCCTATACACATGTATAACACATATACATGTCATTATATGGAAATATTGACAAAAATATTTTCCTAGCACCTTAAACATTTCAGAAATTAGCTATTTGAAGGTGCAATTTCAGTTCACAGTTTGTACTTCATAAAATCTCATGTTTTATTTTTGTTTGGATGTGGTCAGAAATGTCCTGAACAAATACATATCAGTAAGTCAGATATTATTAATTTCATTATCTTTCCAGCAACCCTCAAATCAAAGAATAAAGACACAATTTAGTTGTATTTTCCCTTTAACTCACGATATATATATATATATATATACGCTGAGTTGACATCCTATTTTGGAAACCGGATGTTGTCTGATGATAATGTTTCCCGCTTATTTGACATCTTATTTTGATAACCGGATGTTGTCTCACGTTAATCTTTCCGCTAACTTTGCAAGGTCCTTCGCTCGCTCCCGATCTGTGCCGTTTGAATGCGTTTACCGTGAATTTCAGCATATAGGCGCACTAAAATTCAAGTGTCTGCTGGGTTGACCACGGAGATCCGAGTGTCTGCTAATTTGACCGCAGTCCGGCGGGGATATTTTATCGATGCTCCTCAGCTAATGTGACAATTTTCATACAACCGCTTGAAACACCAGCTGAAGCAATGGGAGCCTTTGGAGTGATGATAAGGATTTTACAATACGTGGGACTTTATATTCAACTTAACGCGGCTCTCAACGTCGGACAAGGCGAGGTGGATAATCGCATCTCTGGAAATGGTAAGTTGTTTTATGACTGTTTGTTGGTGGTTCACAGGAAGAATAACTCCACAATATTAATTATTGAAGAGGATTGACCGGGTGGGGTTCAGAGAACATTGTTTGTTATTCCTGTTGTTATGAAGATAGATGTAGACTATTATTGCAGACTTGCTGTTGTATGTGATTATCTTGATAAGGTAATGGTTGGGGGTAAATAAAACTTATGAAGATCCCACTTTTATCATCTTTTATGTGTCCACGTGAAAGTGGAATATAACCTAGTGCAATCATTTTTTAATTTTTTTAATTTAAGTGATTACTAACTTATAAAGAGCTGGGCACAAGCCACATTCAACCCCTACATTCAAGTTGATTAGGAATTAGTTTCAACACAACCTATTTTGTTGGACAAAATCAGGTAGGCCTATACAGCATATCGGGCTTTACACAATCCTTTGTCCATGAGGCTGTTTCAGCATCATGCCTTCAAGGTTATGTTGTGTTTAATCATTTCTGCAGTAAATCCTTTATGAAAAATAATTGCTGTATATCTGTGATAATAGTTAGTACAACTCATTCCACATAACCGCAACATCACAGGTTCCATTCCGGCAATTGCAATGGCCTAAATGTCAGCGCACAATAAACAAGTTTGACAGTATAATAATGTCACTATAAAATAAACAAACTATGCATTCCCAACACATATTAAAGTGGTGTTTTTTACATGGATCGTGTCTGGTATAGTGGGATCAGGATGGATGGTTTCACCTGAGGAGGTTGTGAGGTAGAATAAGCTTTGTGTTCGCTACACTGCCATCCTGGCTTGGCACTCGTCCTGGAAAATGTACAGTAAAATTCGTATTTTGTGCATGGCCGCTGAACAAGTTTCATTTATGCAGTTTTAAGAATTCAATGATTAACACTCAACTCAGCCACATCAGAGATTTGAACCCTCAACCTCCCTGGCGCAGACATTCTGCTCAAACCAGAGCAACAGTTCAGTCAGTGTGACTACGTGTCCAATTTAACACAGTGATCAGATTAATCAGATTCATTTATGATAACAAACATTAAGCCCAGGTTTGGCTGAAGGTGTTGGCTGATGGACACAAAGGTGCGAGCCAAGGTGAACCATAAAAAGCAAAACAAAGAAGCCAAGGTGTATGTGCCTTCAGTGTTCTTCAGACAAATTACAGCTCCTGAAGGCACCCAAAGGAGAGAGGGGATCTGCTTTTTATGGAGGTGGGGAGGCTTGGGATGCCCCGTTACTGCACTGTAGCGCCTTTACCATGTTTAATATTCGGTGTGTTCGGTGCCTCTTGTTCAAACAAAAATCATGGGGTGAGTTTATTATTGTTCAATACTCCTCAGGGGTTGGTGCATGACCGCATACTACATGTTACTTCATGTGACTCTGATTTGTTTGTGATGATCTATATTGGTGGCTGATCTATCGTATCAAATGCCTTTCATTATTTTGACCAGCCAGTGTTGTTCACCGCTCATTCACCTGCTGTGAGGAAGTGTTCTCTTTTAATTAAGAAAAGGGGGACCAGCTAAAACAATCATGAGCAGTAGAACTATCTGGAAGAAATGATTGTGTGTACAGTGGTATTAACAGGAGGATTCAGACCCAATTACACGACAGTAATGCCAACCTCAAATTTCTAATTAGTGTCTAATTGTGTTTTATGGACTTTCTTGAAACCACTTGTTTTAAGTATATATTTTTGCCGGACCCATTCCACAGTTGTATGCTGTAGGCGATGGCATCCTTAAATATGTTTTTATTTGGTAAGATATAGCATCCAGTCAGCTGCTAAAACAACTTTATTACTGCTCCTAAGTGTTTCATTTTCAGCCAGTACTATTGTTTTCTGTTACTTTTCTCACTGTCAGCTCTTTTAAGCATCATTGGCATTTTTCTTCTTCCTACTAGCAGTCCTACCTTTCTCCAGCATCTCCAGACATAGATTTACTGTTGTCTAATTAAATTGTGTGATAACCACTTCATCACAGTGTCTCAACAGTTGTCCCTTGAGCCCTCTCTGCTTAGCGAGTTAGCTTTAGCTCGATCGCCATGAATGAATGCAGCGGTTCCAAATGGATTGACTGTGTTGGACAGGTTGGAAAATCAATTCGTAGCATTTCTCCCCGAGGAGTTAACTAAAGTTGGCTATAGTCGTTGTGTTCTCTTTCTCACTCCGTGTCTGAGACTGGCCGTAAAGAAGTAAATGCCTCAGGGTGTTGACTCTTTTAACAAGGGTGAAAACTCTTGTGTTCATAAGTTGATACAGAAATAAAAAGAAACGCCTTCCTGTTTCACAGTAGGTCCAGCAGCAGAAGAGACGGTTTTTTGTTGTTGTTGTTTCTTTCAATTGGGCTCTTTGATAAATTGCCCAAGCAGAGAGGAGCTGAGCCGTCATGAAGAGCAGAGAGACTGGATGTACTGTTCTGGAGAGTGCTTGTTAGATTCAGCCCCGACTTATTTGTTCCAGATAAAGTGCATCACGAGCTGGGGCCCGGTCAGCTCCAAGCACTCCAGTTTCCACTATAGCTGAAGTGTAGATTAAATCACCTGCAAAGCAAAATGACATGTTTTGTGGGAAGTCAAGCGACCAGGTCACGTGGATCACTGCCTTCACCGCATTGTGGGCCACATTGTGTCAAAGTGTCAGCGACTCACCTGCCATACGCTCTCAGGGTCGAGTCTCACCAGTGAAGATGGAGGAGTGAGCGGTGTTTGTGTGAGTTGTTGTTCATGTAGACGCCGTTCAACACAAAGTGTTAGACAGTGTTAGTGCTGTATGGCAGCGTCGATCCTGTTATCCATCGTGAGCATACTGCTTTCACAGTGTGGGGGCGTGTACCAATTCATTAGGCTTCCAAAGTGTCTGTGGGATTCTCTGCCAGCCCTCTGCTTGGTGTCCTCCTAATGAGGATGGCCAGCCCCGGCAGTTTGCATTGGCTTTCAATTTAATGGAGCTCCGACTGTGCGTGGAGGGCAACAGATTGTACAGTCATGCTGTCACAGCGGAGGACGCTGGCGGAGGCTCGGTATAGGAGACAGCAGGAGAGTGACAGTATGGTTGAAACAATGCTCACCTCGAGGAGGCATGAGTACATTTTAACATGTTGCAACTTGAAGGGGCCGCTGCTTCCTCTGGTGACGCAGTAAACCCTGGTGTGATGTAATCATATTTGTCATGACCCGCGGTTTTTCTCTGGGCTACTTATTTGAAATCATTAAACCTGTGCAATAAATTGTGTATTTCTCAAAACATCTGCAAAGGGAGAAATGCACCCCTAACTGCGCTGCCAAGCAAACAGCATCAGGTGCACCTGTGCTATTTGCACGTATCTAAATAACAGCAGGATCAGCTCTTTAAATCTGTTCTGAACCACCAGAGAGAAGTCAGAAGTGAGCCTGAGAGATTTAGTTTTGTGTGGACGCTGCTCAGCTCTGGTTAAGATGGTCAGCTCTGCTCAGTGAAATGTGCAGCGATAGTAAATTAGGTTTTTTTTTTAATTGAGAGGATGGAGAATATACTGTACAGGAAGTTTGTGACGAGGTCCTGGTTGTATACGCTCACTAAGACTCACTTTTAATCGAAAGTTAAGATTTTATTTCATTACATTACTTCAACCACGGTGGAACTGCTTCAACTTTAATTTCGCTTCATTTAACACATCATTCATATAGCAGAGTGCTGTAAAGCAGCATGGTCACCGCTGTACTCAACTGTCACGTCGCGTGAAAACATACACACACCATCGCTTAAAGGTTAACAAGGGCAACATACTCAAGCGGAACATAATGTTGTCAGAAATAGCCTCCGAGTCTTGCGTCCCATGGGCTATAAAGAATTCACTCTGGAGTAACGGCGGCAACAGGCAGACAGCTGCTGGCTTGATTACCGGCTCCGTTCTTATTTCATTGTTTTACCTTCAACCTTGAATGAAGGCTGAAGGTCTCGCGGCAAGCCATTATTTCCCCAAGGAGTCTCCTGTCTGTTAGCACCGCCGCTGATTGTAAACAGCATTATTGACTTTTATGCAAATTCCCAGGCTGCTTATTTTTGTTTCTCTGTGTTATTATGGTTTTTTTTCCCCACATTTGGTTATCAGTTGTCACTCCAGCCTACAGCTACTGCAGGCTACTTCTAACGGCTGTACAGAAATGTCTTTGCACAGTGAGACAGGGTGATAGCAGTATTCACAACTGCAGGTATAACGTTTGACTCATCTTTGACTATGAGTGGTAGATTGATAAGAATACAATACCTCAATAAAACTGCCAAACAATATATTTGTATCGGTCTTGGGTTAAAATTACAGCTTCTAAACCAGCACAAAGTGCTGTAACCCTTCAAGGCTTTTCCCATATCCCCTACCCAAACATAACTTCTTCCTCTAGCTGATTATCTGCATGCAGGATTAAAGCTTTTTAAGATCAAGATGAATTTCTGCAGCAGTTCTCTTTATTACAGGAGCTTCTTCTTATTTCATCCACCGTTCCCTTGGGGCTCCCCTGATTATTACAGCCATTCATCAAGTTAGAGAAATACCTCTTCCCAGAGGGATTCTGTTTACGGGCTATTTGCATTCACCTTGGTGATGTTAAGCTGGATCTTTATGTCTTGGTATTTACTGTGGCTGATTTCTTCTCAATTAATCATCTCTGCTCTTCGGTGCCCTACGGATGTGACTCAAATGGAAGCATTGAGTTAACGACCCTGATTTTACTTGCTGTCCCCGTAAGGCGGTAACGTTTTTTAAGGTGAAAAATGTTTGCACTTAACCTAGAGAATGATTTTCTACAATTCTTCCAGCTACCAAATGTCTCTTTTTGTCCTATTCCGATGTCCTAAAACTTTTACGTAACTGTTTGGTACAGTATGTGCCGACATTCCCACATATCCTGATTTCATGCATGGTGATACAGCTATCTTACACACAATTTATTTACCACAATGCTCATTCTTTGTTAGAGGAGCATTTGACAAAACACTATC